GTCGAGAATAAGCTTTATGTGGCCTCTCTGGACTCCCACATATTTGCACTAAGTTTAGTCGGGCACCATTTGCAGTCATCAGCCGACATTTGAAGCAAAAAAATCAGGTAAAAAAGAAAAGCCGCGTCGCCGCACCACTTTTTGGGCAAGCCCCATACCAGAAACCGGAGACTTTTTTTTTTGGCCTTAGGTATGTCCTAAATATACCGAATATCCTAATAATCGATCAATAACCGAATATTCAAATAGCTTGTTGCCGGTTGGAATATTCGAAAACCAAAAACAACATATGCATGTTCTCAAATGACTGTGACATTATTTTATTGTAAAGTTAGGTCTTTATTGTCAGGTTCCACTGTATTTGTGGAAGCAGTTCATATTTGCTATTAATTTAGCAGATTAAAGCCCTTGATAAAATACTTAGGCCTACTGCAAAACAATCTAGCAGCCCATATCGATCAATTTTAACAGGTCGTGCTCCGCTTGCGACTATTGACCAGCACAGCATACAGTTGTGGTGGCAGTTTTGAACATCCGAATATTCAATCAAATGCGGTTTCAAGTATTCAGAAATTAGCCATGGGCGTCGCCAGGATTTTTTCTAGAGGGGGACAAAAAAAAAAATTGCTTTTCCGGGGGGGGGGGGCAAGTGCCCCCCCTTGCCCCCCCCCCCCCTCGCAACGCCCATGCCTATAGCATCTGCCGCATTGCGTGCAATGTCACCCAATCTGTTAATAGAGTTCAGCAAACAACATGTACATCAATTATGCCGTTCAGGTTGACCATTTAATTATTGTCCAAACATTGAGCGATCATCGATTACTTAAAAGAAATGTCACACGCTAAACTCTACCGGAGGGGAAACTATCAGATACTTTCGGCAGCTGTCATGGCAATGTGTTCTTGTAGATCAACCGAGTATGAATTTTATTAAAATTTTTGTGTGAGTGATGTGGCAATTTGATTAAGTTAACGGCACCACAGGCAGTGTAGAGAGGATGGAATTCAAAGACAAGTATTACAATTTGGCAAAAGGCAAGTCGCAGTGACAGAAGTACACAGATAGGATCATCGGTTACCACGATCTGATTTTCCAAACAACGAGGCAGACTGTGAAAAAATGCATGCAAGGAGTGACAACACCACTGAGCTTGACGGGGTGAATCATCAGGACCCTTTTATCATCTTTACAACAATTCTTTTAGCGCTGACTATTCTGCTGATCCTCGTTCTGAATTTTGCGAGCCTATTTGTCCTCCGTCGCGCAACCGGCATCCAGGATACGACCCGGCTGTTTATGGCTTCGCTGACTTCTTCAGATCTCTGCATTGGAATCTTCTCAGCAACCCCAAGGTTGATTTACATCCTGGCCAGCAACAGCGATTCGAGCGAAGTCTGGTGTTTCCTTCGGGACTACACCCATCCGACTTTCGCAACCATCTCAGCGCTCTCGTTGCTGCTTCTGACGATGGATCGCTTCGTTGCCGTGGTTCGCCCGCTGCGCTACCCGAGTCTGGTGACCAGAATAAAGGCAGAGGTAAGCATTGCCCTCGTTTGGATCCTGACTATAGCGGTCTACTGTGTCTTGTTCGGAAAATACTCCACAGAGAGTGGGTGTATGGACACCTCGTGCGAAACTTGCAGACTCGTGTTCTTCTTCATACTTGCGGCAACTCTCATATTCATCTGGACAGCCTACGTTTACATCCTGAGAGTTGCTAGGCAACACGCTCGACGAATTGCTGCCGGGAATCCCGTCGGCGGATTCAACGGGGAGCAAAACGCTCCACAGAGGGCGAGCACAAAGTCTATGACCACGGTCTTTATTATAACGGCCACTGTTTTCCTCTGCTGGTTTCCAACGATCATTTTTCTCCTTGTGGAGTCCAACTCACAGGGGACTATACCCAAAGGGGAGGTATTTTCGTATGCCTTGTTCCTGAGTAACAGCTGGCTGAACGTGGTCATCTATTACGGGAGAAACAGGGAGCTACGGCAAACGTTCAAGAGCATGCTGCCTTCTCGGTCTCACTGATACACTCTCTTTTTTTTGGCAGAGATTCTCGGTTTAGGAACTGATGGACTATGTGTATTATTTGTTGATCAACGTACTCATCATGTGCTCTTACACTTAATTTAGAAAATGAATGCAAAATAAGGTCAAACTCTTGAAAGCAGAAAAATAGAAGTGACCGTAATGTCTGCAAAAATGTAGAACTGATTTCTTTTTTAACCATTTCTCGCTTTCAAAATTAAAGTTTAAAGGTTTTTCAAGATACGGATTGCTTTCTTTAAAAGTACAATGGCTATTGTGTCAAAGAGCAATGGAAAACAAAATTAGTTATGTGAATTATACAAATCGAAACCAAGAGCAAATTGTAAACTTGTTAATGTACTTGTCGTTCAAAGTCTATAAAATATTTATAAAAGTGTTTTGTAGGACAAAGTTAGTAGTTCAAAAGATGCATTGCCCGCACTACTGTTGAGATTCATCCCGAAAAATAGATTTCTTTTTAAGAGGTTTGCAGAATGCAGCTTTAAATTAATTTTGTTTTGAGCTCTATGATACTTATTTAGTTAGTTTACTAACAAAAATGTGTAAAATAAATTACCAAATTTAAATTTATCAATGACTTTTCTTAAGCTACATGTCAGTAGAATTCTTGTCATATCTCTAGTACTTTTTATGGGCACACAAATATCAAGGAAGTGCGAGAAAGGTATCAACTGCACTTTTTGAGGTGACATATTTAAGGCTGCGTTCGTTTTGGATATTACACACTGAAGTACTTTCAAACTGTGGAGGGGAAATTTATTAACAATTGGGTGATGCCTAGCAATTGATTTCTTAACAATCTTATTAAACGTGTCTCTCCATGTTGTGGGTCAATTTCCATAGGGTTGCCGGGCAAAAAATATTCGCCCAAACAACATCACAGTACAAGCCTGTTAAATATAAACCAGTCAAGAAAATAACATATTTTCAGTGGCATGGATTGTTCGTGCTTAGGAAAAGAACAATAAATTAGAAAAGTAATAATTAGATTAGCATCTGTACTACATTGTATTACATTGTGTTACATTGTATTACATCGTAATAGACAGTTCAGGGCAGTACAGAGAGAAATAGGTAGGGTGGTTTTGAATTGTTAAAGAACAACTTTGTTTGGTTAATCTGTCTTCACTAAACTAGGAATTTGAAATTGACCCATTTAATAACGGAATCTAACAGCAAAGAACATCATTTATTAACAGTTGCTATGGAATAGCTTTTGATTAAATGTGACGTGGGATGCCTGGGCAGCGCGATTCACTTGATAGAGTTGTTTGTTTTGTGTTGGTATTGTAATAGATCGGGGCGGAGTATTGTCAGTTTTCATCGGATGTTATTTGTTACCATTCAGCACTCCAGACTCGAGAACTATTGAGTTTCAAGAACATAGGTCTGGGAGCTAGATAAGCCAATGTAAAAAAAAAAAGTGTTTTTGTCAAGGGCCATGAAAACAAAGGTCTTGGATATGCCATTGCCCCTCCTGGTCTGTTGGCATTTGGTAATAACAAAATCCCCATGCAACTTAAGGACAAACTGAAACATGTTTAGGACAGATCCTTGTTGAATTGTCGCAAATACTATGACATAGCTGCGACAAGTTATTCAAATGGATTGTGACAATTGCAGTTGTCTGTCATTGTTCATCCTCTGTGACTTGTGACCAGTCTTGTGATTGACTTGTGAGTGACTTGTGATTGACTTGTGATTGACTTGTGGGTGACTTGTGATTGACTTGTGATTGACTTGTGATTGACTTGTGATTGACTTGTGAGTGACTTGTGATTGACTTGTGATTGACTTGTGATTGACTTGTGAGTGACTAGTGATTGACTTGTGAGTGACTTGTGATTGAATTGTGGTTGACTTGTGATTGATTTGTGGTTGACTTGTGATTGACTCGTGATTGGCTTGTGATTGACTTGTGATAGTCTTTTGATTTATTTGTGATTGACTTGTGATTGACTTGTGATTGTCTTGTGATTGAGATGTGATTGACTTGTGATTGACTTGTGATTGATTTGTGATTGACTTGTGATTGACTTGTGATTGACTTGTAATTGACTTGTGACTGACATGTGACTGACTTGTGATTAACATGTAATTGACATACATGTGATTAACATGCAATTGACATGTGACTGACTTGTGATTAACATGCAACTTAAGGACAACCTGAAACATGTTTAGGACAGATCCTTGTTGAATTGTCGCAAATACTATGACATAGCTGCGACAAGTTATTCAAATGGATTGTGACAATGGCAGTTGTCTGTCATTGTTCATCCTCTGTGATTTGTGACCAGTCTTGTGATTGTCTTGTGATTGACTTGTGATTGATTTGTGATTGACTTGTGATTGATTTGTGATTGACTTGTGATTGACTTGTGATTGACTTGTGATTGACTTGTGAGTGACTTATGATTGACTTGTGATTGTCTTGTGATTGACTTGTGATTGATTTGTGATTGACTTGTGATTGACTTGTGATTGACTTGTGATTGACTTGTGAGTGACTTATGATTGACTTGTGATTGTCTTGTGATTGTCTTGTGATTGATTTGTGATTGGTTTGTGATTGACTTGTGATTGATTTGTGATTGACTTGTGATTGACTTGTGATTGACTTGTGATTGGCTTGTGATTGACTTGTGATAGTCTTTTGATTTATTTGTGATTGACTTGTGATTATCTTGTGATTGAGATGTGATTGATTTGTGATTGACTTGTGATTGATTTGTGATTGACTTGTGATTGATTTGTGACTGACTTGTGATTGACTTGTAATTGACTTGTGACTGACATGTGACTGACTTGTGATTAACATGTAACTGACATACATGTGACTAACATGCAATTGACATGTGACTGACTTGTGATTAACATGTGGTGGACATGTGATTGTCATGTGATTGTCATGTGATTAACATGTGATTGACATGTGACTAACCTGATGTCCCTTGTTCACCATTTCTCGGGCTTTCTCGTAGCAGACGTAGTCCATGTCCTGCCGTTGCTGAAAGACGTTGTTGGTCTTGATGCCGATGTATGTCTGGCCCAAGGGTACCGGCCGAAACCGGCCGTCAAAGAAGAACAAGCCCATGTAAGGATTGACGTTCAGGAACCGCGACACGTCGATGTAGTTTGGGAGCGTGGCTGAGAGGCCTACGATACGGATCATGCTTTGAGAAGATTCCACCTAAGAAAAAGAAAATTCAAAGAAAAAAGATTTGATGAAATATCCAATTTGAGTGCCAATAATCGAAATTCACCCATTTTGATTGCATAACTGGTCGGAAATTAAACACAACCTTCAAATTTTGGGGAAAACTCTTTCAGTGCCACAAAGAAACTGGAAAAATTGAACATGCTCACCAGGGCTCAAATTCGTGGCTCTTTTAACTACAGAAATCTGCACTTATGATCACCATATTGTTGTAAAGTGTCTTGCCCAAGAACACAAACAACATGTTAAAACCAGGGTTCAAACATGCACATGAGTTGGGCATGAGTAGGTTGCACTTGACCCTCTTTACTTTCTGCGCAACTTTTCTGCTAACTTCAAAACAGCTCTACGAATGAAGCTCCAATTCACTGTTACCTGTCTAAGCGTCCGAGCCACCAGGCTTTCGATGACCGCTCCTCTGTCCTCGTGAAGCAGATGAACCTCGTCAATAATCAGTAACTTGACCAGCTGCGTCAGTGCAATGTCTCCTGTGCTCTTTCTGGTCACGACGTCCCACTTCTCTGGAGTTGTGACCAGCATCTGATTTTTTTTTTTACAAAGAAACACAAATTAAAAGAAATTTTAAAATTCATAGCGCTCCAAGGCAGCAAATTCTGCTGAGCAATTTTTCGTGCTCAAACAGCACCCTCAATAGAGAAAGCATAAGGAAAACACACTATCAAAATTGTTGGCTGGTTACCTGCGTTTTGGCGATCTCGGACTTGGTGAGTTGCATGTCGCCGGTGAGCTCCCTGACGGCGATACCGAGCGGGGACAACCGTCCACCAAAGTTCCGGACCATCTCAGCGGCTAGGGCTTTCATAGGGGCTACGTAGATGATCTGAGAAATAAAATCCAAAAAAATGTCAGAAAAAAAAATTGCTGCATCAAAATTAAAAATTCAGGACATCCCAAACTCTTCATATTTAAAGCCCCAGTCCATTATTTGCAGCTATCCAAAAAAGTAACTGGCGTAATTATTGTTGAAAACATACTGGTTGAAAGATAGTAAGGGGACTAAACTCCCTGTGAAGTTATCCTTTCTGGCAAGCTCTCATTTTGAAGAAATCAACGAAAGAAGGCATTTCCAACGGCACCTTAGGAAAATTAAAATTAGTAGTTCTTTTTGTTATTCGGCGCAGCGCGCACAAGCATTGGAACGACACACAGGCGCGTGCAGTTGTTATAATTCGTCAGATCAGTGCGCGACATCGGGTAAAGCTGCAATTCAAAACAATTCGAAACATGATTTAGCAATTTTTGATTTGAAATTGAGATCCTATAATGCTGTTTTTCTTGGAATTTAAAGCTGAAGCCGAGCTGAAACTTCATCAAGTAAGTTGTTCAGTATCCTTCATTAGATGTTGAACAATTTTGTTGCTTCAAACGAACAAAATGCACTAATTACAAATGATGGACTATAGCTTTAAAAAGGGTGCAATAAAAATTGGAAACTGGTCTGGTTCCCCACCTTAAACTCATCCTTCTTAATGACTCCTTGCTCAATGTGCTGCTTGATTTCATGCAGGATAGCCAGCATGGCAATGTTGGTTTTTCCGGCGCCGGTCGGCGCACAGATCAGGAGGTTCTCATTGCTGTAGTAGGCGGTCTCGAAGACAATCGACTGAATGCGGTTCAATTGACGCGTGCCCTTGAAGGCGATCTGTGCTATCTACGAGAACAGAGAAGACGAAAAGTTTAAAGATGCTCTGTCTGTGCTCTTGCACAAATCATTTTATTTTCTCCTCACAAATTTTGACTTTTTTTTACTTATAACAATAATAAATTTGGGGGCTAATCATCCTTACTCCCAGAAGAAGCTGACTTGTGAAGGACGCAGATAGAACGTGGTCAAGCCGAAGGCATGTAAAGGCGCCTTTGGCAGCCATCATACAATCCACGTCTAACCACTGAGCACAGCCAGAGGTCGAGACTGTTGATTTTTTGCCGAAGGAGAGAGATGGGTGCTTTACGCACTGTACCACCCATGAATTTTTGTTGAGCTTCAAATAATTCAAACTTTGTAAAGAGATCAGTCCATAATTTAACTTGGTCCAACGTTTTTCAGTGAATAACTTTTGTAGTGCTAGAAAAATAGCAATTTTATAAACAAAATGAATTTTCCTGGATGAAACTTGGAATTCAGCACCGACTGTTCACAATCAAATTTCTGAAGTTCTCTTTTATGTTTTGTACAAATGAGGATGACTGCTGTTTCCTCTGAGACTTGAGATACAGAAACTAGGTGTAAACTTACTTCATCAAGTTCTGAGACGGCTACCCGCTTTTGGCCGATTGCGATTGGGGCGGGCTGCGATGGGGGGATCGTTACTTCCTCAAACATCTTGACGTTCTTCCGCTCAAATCCTTCCGGCAACATCACCTTAACACAAATACAGGGATCTCTTATACCAAAAATGTGATCTTTAAAAACTAAGCACAATTGTAATTTTTTGCAATTCCAAGCCATAGAAATTCAGACGCAGCCGAATACATGGACATACCTTTGCCGCTCCTACAAATGCGGATGTTTTCTGGGCTTCGGCCAAGGCGTCAAAGACGTAAGGATAAACGTGTTTGGGAGCCCCCGACGTACGCTTGGTCAATAAGGGTGCCTTGCTAGCATCAATTAGTGCACGTTCCCTAAGATGAGAAAAAAATTAATAAATTTTTCCATGTCACATTTTTGACTGTCAGATTTTGTAAGTATTTTAAGTAAAGTAAGTGGAAATGGTGGTTAATTTTAGGTAGTTTTTTGTATTTATTTTTCTGTTGTGACCAGGGTTCCAATCCAACTGTGGTGACAATGCGACAAGTTTTGCCAACAAACTGGTTCACCTAAAATATATTTAGTTACCACTGAAATTGTGCGGGCTACCAGGGAAATCACATGGGGGCAGTGTCCTTGTGGTTAGGAATTAGGAATTGTGACACGTGATCAGACAGTCAGGGGTTCGAATCCAACTGCTACTGGACATATTTTGTGTCCTTGGGCAAGCTATTTTACCCCGACTTGCCCCTCTCCACCATAGTGCATAAATGGGTACCAGCATTAGCTGGTGAACCCATGACTAACTTATATGCCATTTAGGGTAGACATATATTGCTGGACACATGTTGTGTCCCTGGGCAAGCCACTTTACCTCTACTTGCCTTCTCCAACCAAGAATATGGGTACCAGCATTAGCTGGTGAACCTGTGATTGACTTAAATGCCATCCAGGCTAGAACAGAAATAGGTACAGCAACTTCATAAAACAAAAGATGAATTACTAGAAATTGAGTTTACCTTTGCATTCTGAGGTACTGGGGGTCAAAGAACGGTTCGCTGCCGGCCCCGTCCCCCTGGGCGTTAAAACCCCTGGCCTCCTGTCTGGCTAGTCGCTTCTCCTCTTTCCTGAGTTGCTTGTTGAGCTCTTTCTCTTGCTCTGACTGGAGAGAGAAAAAAATGGGGGGGGGGGAGCCAGAAATCAGTCTTTTGACAGTTTGTAAAAAAGGTAGTCTCAATATTTGGTTTTGCCCTTCACTGACGTAATTTTACAACCACTGTATACTCGGTGCTTTCTGAGAGCTTGTATGAAAAATTCACAAGCTTACTCGGGTGGGACCCGAACCCACGACCTCCTGCTTACAAAATGGTGATAAGTCAGTTATAACAAGCTTGGATAGATTAATAGATTTGGTTTTTCTCCTTTTTAAAAAAAAAAGGGGAAATGATAGTCTTTTTCAAGCTTGACACTGAAGTTTCCAGATTACCTGTATGATCACTTGACTGCCATATACCGGCCTCGCCTGACGTTCTTTCTTGCCCTCTGAAAAAAAAAATGAAAAAAATTTAACTCCTTAAATTAGTTCCTATATTACACCCTAGTATTCCCTATTCCACCCAAAACCGTCCCAACACTGCATGGTTTTATCAGGGAATAAATGCAATATAATTAAAATGTAATACAATGTAATACAATGTAATACAATGTAATACAATGTAATACAATGTGATAGACTATACAAATGCTAATGGTTAACATCACTCACTCACTTGTTTTCATGTGGGCTTTCTTACGGGAGCCAGATGTGGACAACAGCCACCACCCTCCCATAAGAAAGCGTGCATGTGACCAAAGCAAGACGTTGTTCTGTCTTGAGTCTATTCCTTACCCGCTATGATCTGAGACATCTGGTTGTGACTGGCAGCTTGCACCAGCTGTGAGCGATTTGCAAGTAGCCTCTGGATCAGCTCAAAGCACTCAAACCCCAGCAGGTCAAATAACTGCAAAGTTACAAAGAAAAAAAAATAGCTGACTAACGTTCCCAGACCTGAAATTTCTTCAAAATCTGCCCTTAAAACTTTGACGAGACAATTATATATGTTGAAGACACAACTAAATTTTCTCTCACCACAATTTTGGAATGGCATTTCAGAGTGGCGCTGAATTAATTCAGACGATTAAATTAAGTTGGACATTTGAAATAATTAGGAAAGACTGACTGTTGCAATCCTTTTAAATGAGTCCAGAGATAGTGGATACCATGCAAAGTTTGCCCTAAATTCGATTTCTGTCAACTTTAGTCGTTCTAATACATTTTGGGTTTAGCGTGAAATTGGAATGCCTATCTGAATTGAGTGTCACCTCATTCTGTAGTTCGTCGTTGGATTTTGCCGACGTCAGATCCCCGAGGAGTTTAGCGCACAGGGCGTCGACGGTCAACCCTAGCGGGGTCCCGCCCTGGCCAAACTGGCCCTGGAGTTGCACCTTCAGCCAGCCCAGGTTCATGGACTTCTTGTTGGCGTTGGATGAGGCAGTAGTTTGCGGCTGTTTGCTGACTGGCTGGGCTGCCGCCGCGGCATCGTAGCCGAACTTTAAGATCGGTTCTTCGCTCTCTTCCTCCGATTCAGAACTGTCCAATAATGAAAGAAGTTAAATTTGAACAAGTGTGTCTTACAATTCTACAATGCACCCGTCCTGCTGACAATCAGACAGTGTAAATTGACCAATTGCATCACCACTTATGGTCTGATGACCACGGTAACCTTGCTAAACTTGGTCGCAAGCTTTGTGAGAAATAGACACAAACCAAAGGAAAGTTCTTGAAAAGGGTCATTCAGAAGGCTAAAGTAACAATCAAAATTTAGCAAAAACATGCTCAGCTTAGCAAATTTCCATCAAAATCCTTTTAAAGGAAAGCGTACTTGTCATCTCCAATGTCCAAGTTCCTCGGCTCGAACGAGAAGTGGATGTGGTTCCCAAACTCCTCCTGCTCGGACTCTGCTCCTCTTATCAACCTCTCCAGGACCTCCCTGGCATCCGAGGAAAGTAGACCCATCAGTGACTGGATGCTCTTGAGCGCCTGCTGGCCTAGAGAGGCTGGAAAGGGGCCGATAGTTGCGTGGAGCTTGGTGGATTTCTTGTGGGTCAGTTCGTTGCAGTTCTTGAGCTTAGTGAAGAGAAAGACTGCCGTAGACTCCACGAGTGCCATGGGGGCATCGCTGCTGACTATGAGGGGGAAAGGGATTAGGGATTTAAGAAAAGGGGAAAGGGATAAAGAAGAAAGGCAAGTGGATGAGAATTTCAAGACGGCTTTAGAATGGAAAGCATCCACGATGAAAGTGACAGGGTTTTCACGGTGCAAATCTCACCCATTTCTCGTGTGATGTGTACCAACTCGTGAAGTTTGCTGGACGTCTCGGACTTGTGATGGCCGCCGAGTGTCTGAATCTGGAATGAAAAAAAGGGAAAAAAAATTGAAAATGGGGGAAATGCACATCAGAGGCTACAGCCAACTCCACACAAATGTCAATTCATTTTTGCATGACACTCATGATTGTTGAACGTTGAAAAATCCAGTAACTGCAAGTCAGCAGACAACTAATTTTTTATATTTTTTCATTTTTTAGAAACCTTAATTTCTAAATCCTCACTCTGTGGGGCAACCAATGGAACATTCCTTGAACTTCAACTTTCAGGAAGCATCAAGTCCAATGTAAAGCAACAGTGGCTCAGCTGAACATTTCTCAATCCTTCAAAAAAATTCTCTACCACATTCGGACAAATTTTGCTTCTGACAGGTGGCGTAGCAGTTAAGAACACAGGACTCATGCACTGGTGTTTCAGAGGCAGCAGAATTTGGGTTCGAGCCCGGGTCTGGACACTTGTGCCCTCAAGCAAGGCACTTAACCATTATTGCTTCGTCCTTCGGATGGGATGTAAAGACATAGGTCCCGTGTGTTGTGTAATGCAATGCACATCAAAGAAACCAGTAACACTTATTGCTAAGACAAGGGGTTTGCCCCGGTGTTTCTGGCCTCCTGTTAAAACTCCCCTGCGGAGTATAAATAGGAGAAGAACCAACCAAGTACCAAGTTACAGGAAACTATTCAAGTTTTGATTCTGTTGAAAAATTGCTACCTCCTGACTGAGCCTTGTCCATGTCAGGCCCTGCCTAGCTTGTCTCTCAGCTCTCAGTGTCTGCTTCCTCAGCAAACTGATGTCGGTATGGTCTGTGCTGTCTGCACCCTCTGCTGTGACGTCTGAGAACGCACGTATGGCGCCTGTAAGCCGTGGAAGTGGCATTTTCTTGCCTGCAAAATTATGGATGGAATTCAATTGTGTCTAACACCATTATCATATTTTGTTTTAAATAAGTTTTCAATAAATAAAACCATGTTTCAAAACTTCCCATTTTTATGAATCTGTTATCAATTTAACACTGAAACACTAGCCAATGGAATTTCTTTTGGCAAAAAAAAGAAGAAAAAAAGAGAAAAAGACAAGAGATAGGCCTATAGGCTAATTTTTTTTTATTTAAGTCAAACACTACAAATACTGACTCTTTGAGAGTCATGTGTACAATATTTGTACGATACTTCTCACCATAACTTCATAATTTGCAAAACTCTGAGGCCCTGCCACAGAGTGATATTTGCTTCAACGACTGGCCGTGTACAGGCTACAGCGGCCAAGTTCAATTTTAAGCGAGGTGTGTAAAAAACCACGAGGAAACAATGACTATATACATGATATATAAGTCCACCGTTGGAGACACGAGGAAAAACTTGACGATTTAACCCATCACCCACCCCTGCGAATATACATTGCAAGATCGTGTTTAGGCCTACACGTCCTCCGGCATTAGGATTAACTTGTTCAAATCCCCCGTTTTAAAATATTCGTTATGTTGAAAATTAATTACGACAAATTTTTTTGGCTTTTTGTTTTTAATTCATTTATCAATTATTACTGATGACAATATTATTTTTAATTGGGAGGCCACCCCTCATCACGACCACGCCTCCTCCCCCCCCCCCCCCTTACCGGCTAGGCCGCGCCTGCACCACCTGAGCACAGCAGAAAGTCAAAGACATGCTGCACAATTTTTTCAGTAATATTAAATTTCGATTACCTACCAAGCGTTGCAGCACTCAAAGGCACGGGATCAACTGTTGTTGATACACCTTATGCATTTATTTTGCAGACATCGTCAACAAGTACAGTACAGTGTACGGGAAATTCCATGCACTAGAAACTACACACACATTTCGTTTTCAATGTGTTGTGAAATGTATGTTGTAATGGATGGGCGCCCTCTGTTGTTTGTTAGTGGAACAGTTTTCTGGGAATAGTCTGGTATCCTTCTATTATTTTCGTTGAAAAAATGAGGACGACGTCAAGATATTCGACGGCCAAAGCTTCAGATTTCTAAAGCGGGTAGAAAATGTGACAAATTGTTACGGTATTTAACGAGCGTTTTTACACTTTTATAATGCCGCTTTGAAATTTTGGGCACGGTCGTCAGTTACCAGAGATCTTCAGTAAAATTTGAAGTCATAATTAAGGGAGTGAAAGTGTTGGTTTCGTCCAGGAATGTCTTCGAAATCTTCCCGGCACCGTCACCGGAGTCGAGACAGCAGCGAGAGCGACGGTGAAGCCGATGGGAGAAAACGCCATCATCATCGGCATCACCATGTGCACCGTGACCGCCATCGGTCGCGATCTCGGAGTCGCGAGCGGAGTCCAAAACATCGAACAGAAAAACCGGTAAAGCACTTTATCATCCTAGTTTAATTCAACACAATGATTACATAGTCATCTGACTTTCTAAAAAGTAAATGTGTGGATTCTAAACTGGTTAATTCCTTTAATTTCAAAATGAATATATTTGGACATGTTTGATAATGTTGTAACTTGTGAACAAAGAATTTAATAAACAATGTTATAATCTTAAAACACGTTAAAAGGGGTATTACGACCTGAAATCCCAGAAAATTTCATGTTTTGACCTGTGTTCTTACACTACTTAAATTATAAATTAAAAGTTTACTTGAAAGGAAACTAACCAATATGTCTTGCCATTCCCGAGAAAAGAAAAAAAACCCAGATTTTAAAGGATAGCTATGTGGATGATTATATGCTACTTTTAAATGTTTTTTTTTACGATTAGGCTAACATCATTTTGTTTAAAATGCATTTTGTAGCCCAATTGGGTGTATTCCAGGATATAATGATCTTGCTGATGCATTTGGAAGTGTTCAACACGATCTTATTTATCATGAACTCGAAAGAAACAAGTTCCCTCCCATCATCCAGGCCTATATCAAGAACCTATACAGCAATCTGACAGGCTATGTTAGGGGACCTGGCTGGAATAGTGAAATCTTTCAATTCAAAAAGGGAGTTTTCCAAGGAGATCCCCTGTCACCCATTATCTTTGTAATAGCATTTAACCCCCTGGTACAATACATCAAATCAGAGTTACGTTTTGGGTATACCATAGATGACACTAAATTCATCTGTACCCCATTTGCCGACGACTTTAATCTCATAACCACCAATGTTAAATCGCACCAACGTATAATCAACAACATTGTGTCTCGAGCTCAATCAATGAATCTTATTCTCAAACCCAGCAAGTGCAAATCCTTGTCTCTCTGCAGCGGCAAGCCTACAGAAAAAATCTTCAAAATCAACGATTTTCTGATCCCAACAATTAAAGATGAACCGCACTCATTTTTCGGGTCGATAATAACATTCAGTGGGAAAGCACGCGACACAATGTTCCACATTAAGCAGAAAATTATTTCGTATCTTAACAGAATAGATGAATCTAAAATCCGTGATGAGTACAAACTAAAGGTGTATTGTAACTACCTACTCTCTTCACTACGATTCTGCCTGACTGTTCACGACATAACTAAAACTGATCTAAACACACTCGATCAAAACATCGATAAGTACCTGAAAAAATGGGGAGGACTGCCCAAAAGTGCTACCAATTCCCTCCTCCATTCCAACTCTGGATTAGGGATCAAATCACTCACGTTCTTGTACAGAGAATGTCATGCCCTAGCTCATGCCTCCACAAGAATCAAAGGAGACAATATGGTTAACAAATGTCTAGACTCCAAACTACACCGCGAATCATCCTGGTCTAGAAAATGTTCCGTTACTGCCTATTCAGAAAACGTTCTCCAAAAAGCTCTGAAGGAAATACCGGCCAAAGACAATAGCCCGGGAAAACATTTGCACAAACTCAAAACAGTCATCAAGTCATCCGTAGCAAAGGACATTGCTAATACATGGGATCAAAAAATCAAATCCCTTGCTAAACAAGGCCGTCTCCTAGAACTTATGGAAACGGAAAAATCCAACATCACTTGGAAATCAATAATGTATAATTTACCTCGGAAAATTCTTCGCTTTGGACTCAATGCAATCATAGATACTCTACCAGTCAATACCAATCTCTGCCTCTGGGGTAAGTCAGTTGACCCCAAGTGCACACTTTGCACATCCAAGGAAACATTGTTACATGTCCTCAATTACTGCCCAGTAATGCTCAATCAAGGCCGCTACACCTATCGCCACAACAACGTTTTACTGGAAATCTGTAAATCCCTAGACAAAATGTACAACAGCTGCTCTAACCGCAAACTCTTTGCCGATCTCGATGGTAAACACGCTCCTGGCGGCAATACCATCCCGCCATCCATACTACCAACCACACTTAAGCCAGACATTGTCATAACAGACGAACATAACAAAGACATCACCATAGTTGAATTAACGGTACCATTCGAAACTAACATAATTAAAAGCCATGACTACAAAATGCAAAAATATGCCAACCTAACACGAGATTTGCGTGAGATAGGTTTCAACTCCAAACTCATCGCCTTGGAAATAGAAAGTAGAGGCTTCATAGACGAAAACAATAAAACACAAATCCGCTCCCTATTCAATCTGATGACAAAAACCGAAATACGGCAACTCACCACTCACCTGTCAAAAACAGCACTGGTCTCATCCTTCGTAATCTTCTACTCAAAATACAGCCCCGTTTGGATTGATTCTCAAGATTAAGGTATTCTTTCATATCGCCCATCCCACTCATCAATATTCCCTTGACCTAGCCAAGCAATCGTTATTCCCTGGTTTATGCTTTTCTTGTTATGCTTTTCTTGTTATGCTAAATTGTTAATTATTTAATTTGTCAATTTGTCTCTTACTTCTACATTAATTTCTAGTTCCTTGCTTCATTGGCATTTAGACTGTTTCTTTTGATTCGTCTTTCATGTTCATGATGTTCTAGGTTTCCTCCATGTCTTTTGGTTGTTGTTGTTGATTTATGATTAATGAATAAAAGACATGAATTAATAATATGCATGCCAGCTGACCAGCATCAAATCTGATGTTTTTTTTAAATCCATTTATTTATTTCAGTTGAACTTACAGGAGTTTGTTTTATCTTTTTACCACATTATAGGAAAGGCACAGCCATAGCAGAGACCAAGATGATAAACATAGCCATTCCAGAGACAGGGATCACAAATCAATTAAACACAGAGACCAAGATCATGAAGATAACAGACGGCACGACAGACATCACGATGAAAGGCGTGAAAAGGAGACAAGGGAAAACCATGGCAGGAAAGAGAACAGAAATCGTGACAGGGATACGGAGAGAGAGGCGGAGGGCAGGAACGGGGAGAAACACCAAGCCAGTGCACTGAGGGGAAAATGGGACAGTGACCCAGGGGCAGAATCGGACAGCCCCAGAGAAAGATCCCGAGGGCCGAGGAGCAGGGAGAACAGTCAACCGCAGGGAGCACCGGGACAGATCCGAATAAAACAGGAGCGGGAGTGGAACGACAACCGCAGGACTCAAGATGCCATACGGAAACCTCCCAATCCGTTTGAGACAACTTCCGAAGGGGCTGGCCCATCGGAAGAAGAAGCCCCACCAAAGGAAAAGGAAAAACCCAATTTTGGCACGTCAGGCAAACTCACAGAGGACACGAACACGTATCGGGGAATCGTCATCAAGTACAACGAACCCCCAGAAGCTCGGAAACCCAAACGCAAGTGGCGATTCTACGTCTTCAAGGGAGACGAAGAACTTCCAATAGTTCATATACACAGGCAGAGTGCCTATCTTCTAGGCAGGGAGCGACTCATTGCAGATTTGCCCATCGATCATCCGTCGTGTTCCAAGCAGCACGCAGTTCTCCAGTATCGGCTCGTCAAGTACGAACGGGCCGATGGCACAACGGGAAAACGGGTCCGGCCATACATCATAGACCTGGAGTCATCCAACGGAACGTACATAAACAACAACAGGATTGAGCCCAAGCGATATTACGAACTTCAGGAAAAGGACGTGGTCAAGTTTGGGTACAGCACGAGAGAGTACGTGCTGTTGCACGATAAGTCCAAAGATGATAACCCTGATGAAGATTTGGGAGAGGATTGAATGAAGAAACTGACAAAATGTCACTGTATATATGTAACTTGTAATTTTGTTTTCACTTTGAGTGTTAGTCACTCTCAAAACTTTGGACTTTTTGAGCTGTAATAATATCAATTATGCAGTTTCAAATTCTATAAACTTCAAATGCACTGTACAAAATTTGAGCACATCCATTTTTGTTTAGACAAATACATGTACTGTGTAAGGTTCAACAGTCACAAAATATGTAATATACGACCATAATTTCATCCACTGAATTAATGTGTAATTAAATTTATGGCATTTTTGTGGCTTAAGTTAAATTTGTGTCTATTTGTTGCTTGTCACATTTTGAGGGTGAAAAGTAGTAGTACTTGAGAAAATTTTGTAACCTGTATATAAATCTGATCTCGCAAATAACTTGATATAAATAGGTACTCATGAAAATTCCACAGGCACAAAGTAGTGCGATTTTTTGAGAAGATTTGTAATGATTGTAATATGTGCCTTTTTGAATATTTTGTATGGGGTTAGGATATCTTGTTCTTGGACACGATTGTTGGCTTATAACACATGATTTATGAACATTAAAGAGAAAGAATCCCAGTAAAAAGGTGATCAGTTTCTTTGGATGTTTCTTAAATTTTATTTGTGAAATTTATATCCGAAAAGGACTGTAGAGTGTAGAATAGTTTTGTCTTTCATTGTATTAACTAAGTCTCATTTAAGGGCTTCCTCCCCCATTCCAGTCATAGCACCCCCCCCCCCAAAAAAAACCCTATCTTCATGAATTGAAGAGCGCCCTCTGTTGATTGTTTCACATTTGGGTGAACCAAAATGGCGGCCTCCATGGCTCACGAATGCGAGGAAAAAGCGGATTGGAAAATCGCTGTTCCTGTGGATGACATTAGTCCTTGCATTGAAGGAAGTATATGTATAGGTGGAGAAGGAAAGAGACATCAGATCTACGCTATTCAGAATGGTACTGAGTACGTGTACATCTATGAAAATATGACCAGAAAGGTGAGCTTTCAATACTTCAATCATGTCATTATACTACTATAGTATGACATGTGTGACATGACATTGACAAACAAAATTAATACTGGACAGTGTATGTATGGTGGTGGTGCGGACATCCGGGATTTTGTTACGTTGGCTGGCTTATCTAGCTCCCAGACCTGTGTTCTTGAAACTCGATTGTTCTTGAGTCTGGGGTGCTGAATGGTAACACATAGCAACCGATGAAAACTGGTCAGGTGCGCAAATGAATAGATGTTTTCATCAGATGACGTCACTCCGCCCGCCCGATAGAAAATTTAGCAACAATTTGGTCAAAGCCATTGATATGTATGTACCATGTAGACTTTGGTAAATTATATTTTTAATAAATTTAAAACCTTGTAAATTACAGAACATCTTGTACATGTTGTATGAATACAAAACTATTTTATCTTTATACATTTTATAATTGGACTACTTTCACATTGGTCAGTGCACATAATCAGCTGACTGGATGGAATATTGATATACGTGTAGTTGTGGATACTGTCTTATTATTGCTGTTCGTTTGCAAATTAAACAACATTAAGTGTACACTTTACAGAGTCACTGAACATGCTGAAGAAATTTGTCAAGGTTTTTTTTGTTCAACTTGATGATGTTTTCTGTTTTTGTGAACTAATTTTACAGGGCATCCTTCATCTACCAGACCAGTGTCGTTGTATGTGTGTGTACGTGTCCAGAGATGCAGTGGGAGATGAACATCTTGTTTGTGGGTTGCGGGACGGACGAATCATCCAGCAAAACTTACAGCTCTTCAAAGATGACACCAAATCAAAGAAAAAGAAGAAAAAGAAAGAGTAAGGTTCTATGTGAAATTTAATTTATTTGCTTCCAAATCTAAGGAAACAAGACATACCCATTGATGTTTAATTTGTTGACTACTAGAATTTAAAAAAAATAAAAAAATTAGCATTTTTTTTTTATTGTTTACCCATATAATAATGAGCTTCTAGATCTTAAGGTAGTTCTTTTGTTTACTTTTCATTTTTAGCAAACATAAAAGTAAAGAGAAGCCACAGACAGCTGTTTTGCATCATCAGGGAAGCCACGAGGATATCTTTGGTGGTCTCTTGGAACCTGCTGATGCGAGGCCATCTTGCTCGCATGGCCCTCCACCTACAATTGAGGAAGACGGGTTGTCGGAAAATGTAGTCATCTTAGGAGATTCACATGTGCTCCTGAACGAGCCCAACATCCAAGACCTGATTTTTGTGAAAGGTCGTCTGGTCACTTGTTCAAAGTGTACAGTAGGATGGACGCTATCTGTGTACCGTCCAGAGGTCAAAGGTCAACTTGGTGATACAATGATATCCCATCATGCCGTTGGCAAACAAGGACTTGAATTTCAGAAGTCGCCATCATTCAGGACATTCCTACCTGAGAGTGGAATGGAATCATCCAGTCACCATGGAGACAGAACTATCAACCAATCTGGAGCCACACATTGCCTGGGAGAGCCAATAGGTTTTGAGGCTGAGGGATCAGGAAAAAGAAAGAAGCCGCAGTTGTTTTGCGTAGTTTCAAAGAGTATGTGCGAAAAAGAGGATATCACAAAGACTACTCCAGGAAGATCCATGATTCTGGAAGACAGTCTATACAACCAACTTTTTGGCACAGACTTCAATTTCCTCGACACTCCAATTATCCTCATTTCCCTCCCAGATGGCCACATATACTTCTCCCCTCTCAGAACCCTTGGAATCACCCAAGTGAGCAGGCCCAAACAAGTCAGAACTGGATCAAACTGGTTTGGTCTGAACACAAGTCTATTCTACGTTTTGGACCAACCAGCTGCGACCATTCATGGGTTCAACACAAGGGTCTCGTTAGAAGCAGGGCAAGAAAATCGGAACACCGACACCACACTGCATGTCTGTGATTGTGTGTGCATTGTTGGTCAATATGGGAAGGTCGTCCAAATCACGGAAAACAACACGACCAACCAAAAGGAGACACTCAAGTTCAGCGAAAGTCACGTCAAGGGACCTGTGCAAACCATTTGTAGGACCAGAACTCCACATAACTTGCTGTATTCGACTGGAAAAGAGATATATTCTCTCTCACTCTCAGAAGCCTCTCAAAAGGGTTCAGCAAGAGAAGTTCAGGGGTGCAATGCTTCAAGTTCGTTTGTCTTGGGAATTGGGAAGATCAGAGCCATGGCTGTGGTTGGCAGAGCTAGCAAAGACTCAAGTTGTAAGTAAAACAAGAAGTTTTACCTCTCTAACATCACATTATTCGTTGCAAGCTTTAAACATCATGGATACCAGCGCCACAGAGACAAAAATGCTTTCTTTGCCCTTTCTCTGTGCCCTCTCGAAATGTTAAGTAGGTAGAAATACCTTCCCCCCTGTTTCTTTAAAACCAGATTCCCTAAAATTTCCAGCATAAGCATTGACACCCCCTTATTACTGAACTTGTGATTTCAGACGCAACCCTTCCTGAGGGTCCTCTACTGAACTACTTTCCAATTTCATATTTATTTGACAGTTGCCAACCCCTTTGTTGCTCTGACTGAGGATGGGAGTGTTCTAAAGCTCCACCCACCAACAGATGGTACCCATGGCAACAAGCATCCACCAATTACAGCGGCCGCAGCCGGCAAGAGAATGCAGGAACTGCTGCAAGCGATCAACAGCATCTCTGAGAGGACTGGTGAGCTGGCCAAGCTCGGCGAAACTCAAGATCACATCCTTCTAGAAATGAGCCAAGCATGCCATGTGGCCGGTGTGTTGCTAAGTGACCACAACTCGGCCAAAAGTTCCACCATCTTTGCTGCGGATGTTCATTGTGAGATTAGAAATGATGGTAATGCATGCAGTTTGGAGCTCCTGTGCCAGCTGACCAATCACAGCAAGTGGAGCCTGTCACATGGTTGGTCCCTCGTGGTGTCTGTGAACGCCAACCCTGATTGGACAAAACTTGAGGAGGACACGAGACATCATGTGACAAAGAGCCTGCCATTGGTCAACTTCCGTCCAATCCAAACTGTTCAGCTTATTTTCCCATTGCATCATGGGAACACCATGCTAGCAATGCCTGTGGATGTGCAATGTTTTTTTCATTTTTCACCCGAGGAGTGTATGCACTCGATCTTGCCAGAAAAGACAAACTTGAAGACAGAAACTCACTTCAAAGTTGGCGAATGTGGGATTTTAATTCCACTGATGCAACAAAAAGTGATAGATATACTGTCAGTTTTGAGACCACTTTCTGACCACCGACATGCAGCTCAAGGCGTTGCACCATACCAGACTGTAAGGAACAGAGGATGTGATTGGCTGGCTTCAGCATTGGAGAGTGCAGCGAGCCTCAGACCCTCAGCCAATAGGATGGGTTGTACCAGTTCAGAAAAGACAGGCGGTTCAGGATCAGCATCTGTGTGTATAAGCATCAGCAATGATGTAACATCAATGATTCTGCAACACAGGAAAGATGGTATAATGTTCATTTTTTTATTTATTTCAAAGCTTCTATAAAATTAAACCTTCTATAAATTTTCATACATCCATCTTTGAATTGCGTATTGGATATCTGTTATTTTTCTCTGAATTTCTGATTCTGTGTTTGATCTTCACAGGTGCTTATAATTCAGAGTGTAATACACAAGAACAGATTCTCAGGTGGCTTTTGGAGGACAACAGGCTCGCTACACATCCAACAAATCCACTCCGTCTACTAACACTGGATGCAAAGGTCGTGACCTTTGAGGTGAAAGTTCAAAGTTCAGGATCGGAGAGACGAGAAGGAGCAGTGAAAGACGGCAGCAAGGCATCCAGGCAAGGAGATGAAATGGTGGAGATTGTCATCACGGCACCAGACTGTCTGACCCTGTGCCAACTGCAGCTGGCAGTGAACAGAAAAATTAAGGTCTGGTACCAAATGTCCTCTTAACACCGCTAACTATCCAAAAGGAGTGCCTGATATAAACCTTTTAACATTCAATTTTCAGAAATTAAGATATGTTCCCTTCCCTCTTATGTTTGAATTCCCTTAGCTGAAATTTCAGAGAAGAAGCATAAAAGCTTGTTCTTGAATACCCATATTGCTACCCTAATCCCCCCCAAAACCCAGTTTGCCCCGCCCTTCCTCCCAACCCCAAGTAGTTATGCAATGACTACCTTTTTAATAATAATAGTAATAATAATTTGGGAGGCTAATCATCCTTACTCGCAGCTGGTATGCTGAATTGCGAAGGACGCGGCTACAACGTGGTTGGGCCGCTGGCACGTAAAGGCGCCTATGGCTGCCGGCCACATCGACCCATATATGACCACGGAGCACAGCCTGAGATCGAAAGTATTTGATTTTTCCATAGGGAGGAAAACCGGAGGGCCCGGAGAAAAACCCACGTGGCACAGGAGAGAACCAACGCACAACTCCACTCACATGCGATTCGAACCGTGGTCACCTTGGTGAGAGGCGAGCGCTTTACGCACAAGCCACCCATGCCACCCATGCCACCCACGTTTTCAGCCATCAAACAACATGCATATTTCTGCCGTATTTTTAAAAAATATAACCTATTCATAAACAGACTTTGTTCTGAAAACATGCGGCTGTTCTGATTTTTATACAGATGGTTTTGGAAAGTGTTGGCAAAAGTAGAGGCATCAGCACATCTCAAGACGGACTCCAGAAACAGCTCCGGAAAGTTCAGGTATTCATTCCTCTCAGTAATAATTTCTCCTTTCTTTCACAATCAGCATGCAAGAATTTGTTTGATAATCTCTATTCTTTTTCCCCCAAGGCGTTGCAAAGGAAACTCCAGTCTCTCCAAGACAACATGATTCTGCACGATTGCTATGACAACCAGTGCAGTCACAATCAAGTCGGCACCCCAACACTTGAACTCTATCAACAGATGAGGAGCCAGCTGACCTTTATGTGAGGTCAGAGTGCAAAGGTCAAATGCAGCTGATTAATGTAATGTCCAACTTGCCAGATTTATGGTATATTAAAACCAAAACAGGCACATGAGCACTACTTTCACGAGGCCCCCTTCAATGGATAAACCATTGTGCATGCTTTTGTACAAAGCAACTGCCTGAGACGAACTATCTGAACAATAGCTAGCACAATACTGTCGCCATTAATGGGGGCCTTCGTGATAGAATTGATTGTGTTTCGTTTACAGTTTTTTGAAGTCTATAGTTTAAGGAAATTCTTTGTTTGGTTGTTTTAGATTGCAAGTTTTCTCAATTATTTTGGGATCGTACAAATTTCAGTCTGATTTTAAGGAATCACGAATATTGACAACGCACAGATTTGTAATATGTGCCTGGTTTTTATTATCATTCTTCAGAAATAATTAGATGTATTGGAAAGGCAGTTGACGGGCACATTATGTACAAAGCGTGTAGGGTTTTTGGCCCTTTTTTCCAATACGACAGCAGGACAAATTAATAATTTAAGCAAAAAAAATCAATGAGCAATATATCTTTTAGCATATGGAAGTATTTTAAGGGAATTTGTCAGTTAATTCTGGCTAGACCAAATTTATAGAACATTCAACAGCCGTTTCATGAGGTGCAACAAGGTTCAGTAAGTACATGAAACAGATGCAGGTTATTACATCTCATTCAGTTTAAACAGATTGGCTGAATTTAAGTTCTAGTCTAAAAAAAAAATCAAATCAACGTTTTGGATTAGTTAAAATTACAATATCTGCTTGTTAGTCATGAGGAAACTATAACTTTGGAAATTTAGCCTTAAGCCCAAAAAAAAAGTCTCCTGTTTCTGGTATGGAGTTGCCCTAAAAGTGGTGCGAGGACGCAGCTTTTTTCTTTTCTTTTTCCTTCTTTTTTTTCACTTCTTTTTTTTTTTCTTCAAATGTCGGCTGATGACTGCAAATGGTGTCTAACTATTTAGTGCAAAATATATGGGAGTCCAGAGAGGCCACCTAAAGCTTATACTCGATTGTAACCCCATCTAAAAACACATTAATATTGTGCAGCAGCAGGATTCCAGTCAAACCAGTGAGTTTGGCAGTTTTGAGACATCATCTTACATTGAAAAAAAACTTTTTCATTTTGCCGACGCGCATGGCTACGGTGACACGCATGCATACCAGAAACCGCAACCTTTTTTTTGGCCTTAATTATATGTACACATATATGAAGTACAATAAGTGACAACAGTTCAGGGGTACAAAAGGCTATGCAATCAAGAAATAAAAGATTTGATATGAAACCACATTCCGTAGACGTTACATTTTGTTTTGTTACCATTTGGATTTTGACAATTCAGGACAGCGAAGTCTTGCTCCCTGATTAGTGAGCACAAACCATTTTGTTAGTTGGTGCAATAACATCAAATCTGGTACCAGACTATAAAAAAAATACTAGCTACTGATTGGTTGCTTTTACAGATCAAAAGTTGGCTAAAATACGCAGAATCTTCCACATCCATATTTTTTAGAGGCCATTTGCGGGAGAAGTGAAAGGAAAAACATATTTCATCTGCATGCCATCCATATTATAGATACATGTATATCAAACATTATTTTACAACATAAAGACGTTTTATTTTCCTTACGAATATTTATTAAGTGGACTTAATTTAACTTTCCGATCATTGGGTCTAAATATTTAATAATAAAAAAAGTCAATCATAAATTTAAGGTGCTTAGAATTTCAATTTTGGGGACAAGATATAAAATATTGAAAGCCAAAAGGCACGTTATGCATGGCCGAGTCAAGACAGGGTATGCACTGTAAAACTGGTTACATGAATGGGTTTGTTGTGTATTAGCATAGCTACTACATATTAATGATGAAGGCGGGGCCTACTGAGTAGGCGGGGCTTAACGAATCGGTCTATTACAATTGACATGTACAACAATTACATCACCAAGATTAACTCCCATGCATGAATTAAAAAAAACTAAGATCACTTGTAGCCGGGTTGTGGGTAGCCGACCGGCCGACCGTATTGTAAATTCCTGGCGTAGGGGTTGGCTTGTCCGCCCGGGGGACCAGCCCCTGCGGCGGGGGGAACACCCCCTGCAGAGGGGGGATACCCCTGCTGCTGCTGCTGGGGGTTGTATGCGGGTTGCTGTTGCTGCTGTTGCTGGGTGTATTGAGATGGTTGCTGTTGCTGCTGTTGTTGTCCGGGGAATGACTGGGGTTGTGAAGTCGAGGCGTAGGGCTGGGATGGGTATCCTGGTGAGGAGTTTGGGGAAAAAATGAAATTGATAAGAATATTACCACTAATCTGAAAAGACCCTTCAAAAGTCAAAAATAGTTTTAGATGATTTTTTATTAAGATACCCTGAGCCACTATAACGTTACATGAGGATTGATGTCACTTGAAAATTCAAAGAATGGGCCCTTTGGTTCCAGGACAGTGGTTGATTTTGGAGAATCTGGGATGAATTTATTGGCAGTGCTCAAGAAAAGATACTATAAAGTACTTTAGTATGAGGTGAACCTGCGTCTTCTGGCAGACTAGTGCCTATGTCTCCACCAAATAAATTAGAAATATTTGACCCCAAAGCTAAGGCCTCCCTGCCCACCTTTGATTTGTGTACATGTCCAAGAAAAATGCTGGTGACCAAGTTTGACCACAGCTCGGTCGTCAGTGCCCAGTGTTTTGCTTACTTGACAAACGGGAAGGGTCCATCACAAGACAAGTTGCTGTTTGAGTTTAACAAGAGGCAAGTGTCGGATCTTACCTTGGCTGTACGGTGCTGACGGCTGCTGGCCGCTGTAGCCTGGAGCCTGTGTTGAAGCAGGCTGCTGCTGCTGGGGCATGGAATAACCACCTTGACCCGAGGGGTAGCCCGACTGGCCGCCTTGTGGAGCACCTGCAATTGAATTTCAAACATTGTAGTTCCCCAATTATCCGAGTTCCAAACTTAATATTTGAAACAAATTTTTTAGATTTGACCTGACTTTTTGGTATATTGTCTTCAAATATATTTCAACCATTCATAACAGTAACATTCCTATTTTTTTCAGTTGTCCACTTAATTGGAATTCTTCTGCATGGGAAGATAAATTGTTCAATAGTTTTGCTGATCATCTTGTTTTCAACTACAAAATTGTTCATACATTTATAAATGGCAAATTTCGGAAGCAACATTAAAATGAATGCTTACATCTGAATACGCACAAATCTTTCTGTAAAGTGTAAAAAAAAAAAAATAATAATAAATATAATCTTTTAAAATAAATGAATTCTTACTAGGGTACTGAGACTGCTGTGGCATGCTGGTCGGTTGCTGGCCGGGTTGCTGTGCCTGGGGTTGTGCTGGGGGTTGTGTCTGGGGTTGCCCCTGGGTGTTCTGACCATAAGGTTGATGGCTGGGGGTCATCTGTTGCTGTTGGCCATGAGCTGAACCCAGGCTGGTATTGCTGCCGGTCGGAGAGCTTGGTCTTTCCTCTGGAACTAAAAATAGTATTTGAAATGAAAAATCAGTCCTCATTTAAGGACTACGAAAATGACTTGCCGCACAATTACCCCCTCAGTGGGGGAAACGAAGACAGTGATGACATGGAAGGACCACTTGACGCCATCTTGCTTTTCCATGCTGGTATTGGTGAAAACCCATAGTATCGCACATGGAAACGGCACGCATTCGTTGTCCTTCAATATTGGCGCTCTTAATCATTTTTTACCGTTGAGGGAGTTCTTCTGCACAAAGTACACGCCGGGGATCATTTTCACGGTGCTACTCACATTAGAAATTTGCTAAGCATGTAAAAATTTTGCTAAGCAAAAACAGATTACCAGCTGAAATCCCATGCAATGTACATTGCACCTGACTGGTTCCCAGCTGATTTTTGCTTAGCAATAGTTTTCTGCTTAGCAGGTTCATAAATTTGGGTTCAGGAATTGAATTTGGCATTTGGAACATTGAATAATACACTTTTAAAATTTACACTTTGGATTGTTGGGATTGGGAAAGTTTGAGTGAATTTTTGTATTTTTACTGACCTTCCTTGTCGAGCCCAAAGCTCTGCATGACCCCGGAGTTACCGGAGTCTGATCGCTCGGGTTTCTTGTAGGGATCAAACATGGCTGTCTTGGCTGTGTCGACCCTTACTGCTGGTACCGATGAATCTGCTTGCGGAACTATTGGAATTGGACAAAAAAAACAGAAAGAAATTTGTCTAGTGTAACCATCAAATTATTCAAAAAAATTTAATGTTTGATTTAACGAACAATTATGTGTTAATACAGCATAGCCACAGCCACTGTTAAAAAGACTCTGCAATATGTGAAAGACCAATGACATGGGCCCAATTTCATAGCTCTGCTTACCGTTAGCGAAAAATCCCTGCTTACTGTAAGCGTATTTCAGTTTGGCTTCTGCGCATGCGTACATCTCATAACTAAGGATTCTGTGCTTGCAGGGTTAACACAGAATTTTTCTGCTAGCGTGGTTAGCACAGAATGGTGATCGCAAGCGTGGAATTCTGTGGTTAGCAGAACCATGAAATTGGGCCAGTTTTCTTTGAATCCTAACCCCCTAGATCCTTTAAAATCAGCACAAGGTTATGTAGGATTTTGTGAGATTTACAAAATTAGAACAAGCCTCTTTTACTTGACATTGGACTTGAAGCCCTTAAAGTTGGAGTACATATAATGTGCAATTTGGTTCTTGCAGTACGGTTGGTTTGGGTTATTAAGGAAGTCGATGAAATGGCGCACACAATTGACCAATAAGATCACGACGTTTAGTCAGGTGACCACAGCAGCTTAGTCAAACCTGTTCACAAGCACTGTGAAAAAAAAACTACACAAGCCAAAAAAGGTGGGATTAATGTCTACTTCTTTTGAGGAGTGTGGCCAAGTGGTTAGGGTTCATGACTCATGATCAGAGGGTCAGGGGTTCGAATCAAGCTGGTCATATGTTATGTCCTTGGGCAAGCCACTTCACCCCCACTTGTCTCTCTCCACCCAGGAATATTAGCTCTCTCCACACCAGCATTAGCTGGGGAGTAACCTGCAATGGACTGGCATCCCATCCAGGGGAAATACAAATATTTTTGGTCGTTTCACGCCAAGGAAACCAGAGATAAACGCCGGCCTGATGGGCCATGTTGGTTCATGACAGGCTTTACTTCACCACTGTGAGTTTGTGTTATTGCTATCAGTTGAACTTCAGTGAAGTACTCAGTAAATTTTGGAAATGACTGATTCTATCTATTTTACCGATGCAATCATCACGCAGCCGCCAAAATCAGCAGTTAGCTCTTTTATGTTAGTGCGCACACATGCTCAAAACAATTTGGCATTTTAATACCTCTTGGCGACTTCTCCGTACTGCTTACAACTACCTCTCGTTTTGTGGGGCCAGTTTGGCGGTTACCTTCGACTTCCTGAGGCTCGGCCGCCGGGGGCTCCAGCGTGTCCATCAGGTAGAGGACCTGGTCCCGGATGTCTGCCAGCTGCTTCCGTATGTGCTTGACCTGGTCACTCTGCAGGGGTTGGGGTAGGCCGTTGACTAGACACACAAGGTTAAGGGTCAGAGGTTATGGTTAGACAATAATATATAATCATATTCAACACATATACACTTTCTTTACAAAAAAAGTCAAATTTGATCAATTTTGCAAAAAGTTATTCAACAGATAGGAGTTTGAGACAGAAAAATAAATAAGATCAACAGAGTAAACAAAACATTTAACCCTAACCGCCCCCAATGCTACAAAATACCATTGAGTAGTAACCTGTAGTATTAATTTCTTTCCATACAAGTGTGCACAGCACATGTAGTATTCTGTGGTATTTGGTACTTGACCCCCAAACAGCCCTTTGGGGGTTAGGGTTAAATTACTAAGACAAATCAGATTCAATACTTTTTTTAATTACAGAAATTTAATCTTTGAGATTGAACATTGTTTGAAAACTTTAATTAAAAAGCTGTGTGAAATCTAGATGTACAATGCAAGAAAAGAGAGTTTTGTTTATTTACCAAATAATGTGAGTTTTAAAATCCGACTGCACTGGATGGCAAAGGAAAGATCCGTGCTGTCAAAAATTGTGATCAAATCTCCATCTGCAAAAGACCAAAGAGAAGGAAATTGTTACAAAATCAACAAAACAATGAGGAAATATTACAATGCCTATACTCATTTTGAGAATATGAAGTATTTTTCTCTTTGACTACATATTAACTCTACCAAGAAGGGCAGAAAGGTAAAATTTTACATTAAAAAAAAATCCTGAACATTTACCTTCGTCTTTGTATTTGATGGTGACCTCATCGGTGTTCTTAAGTTTCCCGCGGAACACTCGCTGCATCATGAGAACCAGCTCATCGTAGGTAATATCCTCATTGTGGATCGGGATGCGTCGGATGTCGTCGCCGATTTGCGCCTTGATGATCAGCTTGTTGCTCAGGTCGATCTGGGAGAACACGCTTCGCTTGACCTCCGTGGTGCCGTCCATGGTTGCGTCTTACGGAAATTGGGTATATACTTGCTATGAACAAAAATATTATACGTAGGCCCAACTTATCAAGCACAATATAAAAATAGGCAAAACTCCAAATGCGCTTTCTATTTCTACGCATAAAATTGACTTTACTTTCAAATTGAACTTTTCAAAAATATAGCAATTTTTATGAAATTTATATAAAACTACATTACTTTCAATATTACTGTCGGAAATACACCGTCTTTCAATTTGTACAACGTGATCTGCGTTGAATGCTCTTGATACTGACATAAGTTTCCCCCTTTTTTCTCCAATCAGTAAAGACTGCGAATACCTCAAATCTACCATTTTATGTAAACATCCTTAAATATGCATAAAAGAGCCACTTACGCCCAAAAAAATATCACAAAATGTGCAAATACACAAGGAAAAACGGAGTAACAATGACTCACCTCAATTTACACGTAAACGCAAGTGATGTCACGAGCTAGTCTGGTGACAAGCGTATGTGGCAAATTATCCGTGACTATATTAATGGCGAAGTCTGGGAGTCAAACAGTGCTTATACTTTTCCGTGATTTGCATTTTTTTCACACAAAAAAGAGGCCCCACCCCTTTATACGTAGACTTTTATGTGATACAGTTCCTTTTCTTGTCCCCACCCACTGCTACAACCTTCAATTTTCCAACCCCCCCCCCCCCAAAAAAAAAACGGGGCAAAAATAATAATAATTTATTTCCAACACTTCGAGACTCGCACCATACCCAAAGTACTTACAATCAAAGGCTGCGGCTATATAGAAGGGGGATCAAAGATTTAAAAGATTAAAATCTTTAGATAACGGGGAAATTCTGCAAACATTGTGTGACAACAGTTTGTCATTTTTCAAAAAGGAAGCACATTGGCCAGGAAGAAATTTTCGGGGCCTTACAAGGGTCTGTGATTGGCCGAAAACTTTTGTCACGTGATCACACAACTGCAGCAGGTGGATCGAATGGAGCAGACGATTTTGAGATCTTACCCTAGTCATGCAATGCCCACTGAGCAATGACTAAAAACGGAAATTCCTAATCTAAAATGTAAACTGAACCTTTGAATTTCTTTCCAAAAATATAAATGATTTTTCTTTTGCTTAAAATGTTGAAAAAAATATTCAGTGTTTTTCCAACATGAAAATGTTTTTTCTTTTAACGACCAACCTTTGAAAGTGGTAAGTCAAAAGGTGCCGCGAGTTGTTCAAAAGTTTCAGTCATTTTTGGACGAGCAGTATCACTTCTTATTTTCACCTTCATTGTCGATTTGCTTGGATGGTTTCATCGTTAACCTTCAACCTTGGGACTAAGGATTATACGGTCTGGAATAAAATAAGAGCTGCGACGTGTTTAGAACGATGAATTTGTTTGTTTAACTCGTGTAAAAACATGTAAACAGTGCATGGACAGATCCGGAGGAAGGACTAGGCGCGCGTAGTGCCGGCATGGAACGGGGAACATTATTGGCAAGGTAGGTAGGTAAAACGTTTATTTACAAATGAAATGACAAACTTTGTTTTGTAAATGTATGCGAGTATAGCCAATGAAGGAAGCACATTGTGGTTGACACACAACGTGTCTATCTGTAAATTATTATTAAGCAGAATGTTGAACCAACTTTCCTTTTTTAAAAACTGTTGTACTTTCGTTCGAGATAACGCTACCCACAATAGCGCCCTCTGTTGACGTATTATTGGGTGACAATATTAATGAGATTTAAATAAATCCGCTCATCCTGTCTTTGAACGTCAGAATAAGAGTGCGGTGGTCTTCGTATTCGAGCTTTATTCAGTTTTGAACTTTATTGGAGTGGTGGGGTTGGGCTTGGCACTTCGTTGGAGGGATGGGGCTGACATCTGTTTGGCTGGGGAGCAAAATATTGCTGGGAGGGGGCAGATGTGCCTAAATTGGATGTGGTATTAATTTGGGGGGAGAAGGGGAGGGTTGGGTCAAATTTTGGGGAATTGGGGGAAGTCTGTTTTCATTGGGGGAAGTCTGTTTTCAGTTCTGAAGAAATATACTTTGGGGCTAGGCTAAGAACCTTTGGAGAATTCCCGATATTTTTATAGTAAAATATTAATAATGTGTTAGTTTTGTGTTTATCTAATGAAAAGAGGGCGCTGTATAATAATTGCGATTCTGTGTAGTGTAAACTGCACTTTCCAATCTGGGATTTCGGGCCCTTGGACATCAAAAGCTTTCCCACCAGATTAATCTTCAACCAAATGAAAACCTAGCGAGTTCTGGCACGACAATTCGGCTCCTTTGAACAAGGAAAGTGCAGGGGGACCTGTAGCTTTATTAAATTATAGCTGTACACGTTTGTCCTCCGTGTTTATTTTGAGCATTTTGTGCGTGTATGTTTTCGTTGAGCGTCGATCCACCGTTTCCGTTGAGTGTCAATCCAACTTTATGGCGAGGTGATAAATGACCAAACAGCGAAAGTGGTGTTGAACTTTGAGGATGTAATTGTGTTGACTGAGCGTGGGAGGCATTATATACATCACGATAAGTTAAACGGTCAGATTATTATGCATGGAGTGCAATTTACAGCTCAAAGAGAACACCGACATCACGCCTTTAACAGTTAAAGTAAAGAGTCCATATTCTATTCCAGTGACGTTTGTGCATCATGAATTATTACTATAAAACCCCACCACCACCACCACCACCACCAAAAAAATGGGGAAAAAAGAAACAAACAGAAAAGAAGAGGCCTTTAGCCAATATCATTACTTGAAATTAGTGTTAATTGTACAATAGAAAATACAGGCGGCGCGTGCATGCTCGTAAAAAGCGGCTATTATGAAGTTTCAAGACTCCACTTTTCGAATTTCCTATGGCCAGTCGGAAACATGATGCGCCCTCCCAAAGACAAATTCTGAGTGTGCCACTGACGCCACATGCGACTCGACAATCCTGTCATTTCACCTCATCAAAAAAAATACCCCCCCCCTAAAAAAAGAAGCTTACAATAATATATATTGACTCAAACGATATCTAAAATGACAGATGTATTACTGATGAGCCTGACAGTTTCTCTTGTAAAGAATGATCCATTACGTATTCCAAACTCCAATCCATGTATCATAAAACATGTATGTTTTTTTTTCGTCATCATCGAAAAAAAATGTGTGGCTGATTAAAAAAAAAAACACTCTCCCTTTTTTTTTGATTTCTCATTCGTAAATACATGTAACATTAAATTGTTTATTCCACCTATAATTTCACATGAGTATTGTCTGCCTGCAGTGGAACATGTTGCGCCAAGTAAGATGTGGGTCCGATCCCTGTATAGGAGCCGAAGGAAATACGTCCCTCCCATTCTTGGCAAATGTCTTGACAAATGTCTTGACAAATGTCTTGACAAATGTCTTGACAAATGTCTTGACAAATGTCTTGACAAATGTCTTGACAAATGTCTTGACAAATGTCTTGACAAATGTATTAAGAAAATGTGAACAATCCATTAAGTTTTTCACCATGTACCCGAACCACATCGCGCTAAGTATAGCACATCCATGTACATGCACATCGATCAGTTGTTACAGCAGATGGGGAGTTGGCGTCGACGTGGTGTTTGTTTTAAACATGAATTTGTCTTCCTAGACCTGAAAGCACTGTGTACACACAAGTGTTCTGAGCAGCTGGTAAAACCTGCCCCAGTAGCCTGTTGTTTTGTCCATGGGGGAAGGAAAAGGCTGTCGGGGAAATCATAATCTTTATATACAACATTAATAACACTTGGCAACTTACTGTAGAGACGGATTCATGTGTTGTCAAAGAAACGGATATCGCCGACCTTTATTTTTAAAAAATTAACTTCATTGCTTTTAAGTAGTGAGACACAATTAATTGCCATGCTAGGCGTTCGTGTTTGCTGAGTACTTTTTCAGATAGTCATCGATCATCATAACTCGTGTTTCTTAAATCTGTTGACTTGAATGTCTAAGACATTTTTGACGGTCGGCCAGTTGCTAAGAATAAAAAAACCTTTGCTATTTTGACAGCTGTAAAAAAAAAAGAATTGGTTGTGTTATAGCTTTCTTCAAAAGCTTGACTATTTATTCTGAATCTCAGATTGGCTGAGCTCAGGCCAAAAAAAAAAGTCTCCGGTTTCTGGTATGCGCGCGCGTCGCCGTAGCCATGCGCGTCGGCAAAATGAAAACGTTTTTTTGTCAATGAAAGATGATGTCTCAAAACCGCCAAACTCACCGGTTTGACTGGAATCCTGCTGCTGCACAATTTTAACGTGTTTTTAGATTGGGTTATGGTCGAGAATAAGCTTTATGTGGCCTCTCTGGACTCCCATATATTTGCACTACGTTTAGTCGGGCACCATTTGCAGTCATCAACCGACATTTGAAGCAAAAAAATCAGGTAAAAAAAAAAAGCCGCGTCGTCGCACCACCTTTTGGGCAAGCTCCATACCAGAAACCGGAGACTTTTTTTTGGCCTAAGGATGTTCATTTTTTTTGGTATACTCTCGTGTGTACTCTAGTGACGACTGGAAATCGATAGATCATTTCAAACTGCTGCAAAAACATCGACATTTATTTGTCTAATTAATTCTCTTTTGGCATCCATAAAATTGTGACGTTTCAAGTGTTGATGACACACCAATACTTTACTGAAAATAAAATTTTAACAACAACATGTGTGCAGTAAACAAAAATACAAAATGTCCTTCGATGAGGCACTAGTTAGACGAAACCGATTGCAAAAGCAATATCCATAATAAATTGCAATTATCATGATCGTCAGAGTGAAATCTAGATAAGAGATACAGGCAAGAGACATTTTTAGTCATCCAGCCATTAACAATTCATCCATGTTCAGCGGTCGACGATTGACTGTTTAAATGTTTCATTTTATTCGAACATGTTTATACAGAACATGTTTATACACCACAAAGGCTATTTTACACACAGATAATATTATTATTATTATTGTTATTATTTATTCGGCCAACAAATGAACAAAAGTACAATGACAAAGCAAATATATATCAGAAAGTAAACAAAAAATGGAAATTGAAAAGAATGACCAGACAAGACTGAAGACTGATGCGAGAAGGAATGGGTTGGTGGGAGGGGGTGGGGAAGGGAAGGGAGGGTGGACAGTTTGACAGGGGAGAGGAGATAGAGGGACAGAAAACAAGAACAATATAACATTTCAAACCGGCCAGGGTAAACAAAAGTGTACTTAAACACTGTAGCCCTAAGGCCTGCCTACCCATAATTCATGATAAAAAGTATAATGAAGTACAAGGGTTGCAAGTAAACCTTGCTTAGTAGATAGTATTTTGGAGGTGTTGCGGCCCATTTTGGTCGTTTTCTGTCCATCGTTCACTCCTGTAGAATGTCAGAGGTTTGGTCAGTATTTCGTGGTTGGGTTTTTGGTTCGATCTGGTCTTGGATATTGTCTCGTTCTTCGTGGTGTGAGGGCTGGATTTGAACCATCCCGGTGCTTGGTTTGATCGACGGTGCAGAGCGTGAGCCACCACCGTCCAAAATCAAGTCGCTAACGTTGAGTTCGCTGGGTGCGATACTAGGCCCAAGGCGGCAACAGATGACGGTTAAAAGCGCTTTCTTAAACTGAGGATTCTTGAAGGAGTACACGATGGGATTGACCACACAGTTGATGAAACCGACGGCCAGAATGATGGAGAAGCCGAGCTGGGTGAGGTTGACGCTGGTTCCGGGAAAACTGAGATAGAGAAAAAGAAGTTGATTAGGAGCCCAGAGGACGCCGAACAGCAAGACCAGCACCTGGAGCATTCTTACGATGTTCCGGCGAGCTCTGAGCAAGTTTCCGGCCGCAACGGGTTGGTGGTGATTCTGAAGAGCTTCCTCCCTCTTCTTTAAGGTCTTTACAATGTTACCGTAGGCGAAGAGCATGACTAAAGTGGGGAGGAGGTAAGTTAACAGGAATGTCGCGATGGTGCAGACAATCTGGAGGGCTTGGGAGGGCCAGTAGAGTTCGCAGGAGCCGCAGTCGTTCACGCGGGTGCTGTAGAAGCAATACGTTTCCAAGATAGCGGAGAAGAGCCAGCACAGCATCACCATGAGTCTAATCCTGGTCACGGTGAAGTAACGACGGTAGAGGAACGGTTTGACGACACAGAGGTACCTGTCGACAGTCACCAGGAGCAGGTTGTAGATGGAAGCCGTCACGCAGGTCCAGAGTGGAAAGTCCGACTTGAAGAAGCGACACACGAACTCCTTCCATGCCAAACTCTCCGGGTCGAGTTTGAAGACGTACGGTCGGGATGCCATGAAGACCGAACTGCAGAAGTCAGCGATGGCCAAGTTGAACAAGAATATGTTAGTGGTTTTCATCCGGAGTCTTGGAATACGGATGAAAACGATGAAGACTAGGCCGTTACCTACTAAGCCAATGATGGCGAACGTCAAGTGCACGCTCTCGGCACCGACGGGGTGGATCACGCGCTCCGCGTAGGAAGGATGACTGCAGTTGATTTCAAGATCCATTTTTCAGTCAAAACAGGTGCCACACCCTAAGTCTGAATTACTGCAAGAAAAATCCGTCGGCACACAACTCACGCAAGTGTGTATTTGCCTGCAATCGGGGACCCCTTATTGTCCCTCTTTTGTTTGTACTTTTTAGGAAGATCTCCCATATGTTTTGTACACGAATCCAAATTGGGGACCTCTCGGGAATTGGGGACCCTATTGTCCTCTATTGTTTAACGTCCCCTATTGATTGCAGAAACAAACTCACCAATGTTGGGTTTCCCTCAGTCAATCGAAAGATCCGTTTTTGAAGTCCATCGGGTGCGCAGATACACCTGAATTCTGAACTTGCTTCAAGAAACAAGAACATGCACATAGCGTTGTCACTGTTACAATGTTTTTTTCGGTGTCGACTTGGCGTTTCAAATGCATCACAAGACGGACCATGACTGTTCTTGATAATAACCTAATCACAGAGCAGCCATGGTTCTTATCAGATATTGTATACGGCACCGTACTAATTATAATGTCCGTGCGTAGACATCATGCAGTGTAGATTTTTCATTTGACATGCCGTGACTTCTCACCACTCTTGTCGAATAAAACGAAACATGCCGGCTCCTTTCAAAGGATAATTGATCCAGTTTTTCGTAGATAAAAAGGGAAGAAAGGGTGACTCTTCCTCGGCAAAAACCACAATCTAATTAAAGATGATTGGTTTTCTTCCGATGAACTTTGCCTTGTCTAAACATTGAGGCAATGGTTCCGTTGCTGGCAGCAAGTTAATATTGTTGTGGCTTTGTTCCAGTTTATCTTTAAACTCCGGAATTCAGATAGCAATATCTCTGAAGTGGTTCGACGCATGCCCTCGGTTTACACATTAATAGAACACAACATCCCTTCATTTTTAATAAGACGATACAGACCTAATGATCCGTCGGTACAAATTTGAACGCCAGGTGACTGACGAATTACTTTTTAATGTAGTTTGGTGACAGTTGTGACGAAAAAACTTCTCAACTGATGAGAGAATCTTGTAAGTGTGATACAGGGTAATTGTGACGGTTGGCTTGAAAAGGCCGGATGTCGTCGCCAATCACTTAAAAATTACCAACGTGACGAGATGTGGCTTAATCAACGTGTTCAGTGCAATCAGGATTGCTATCAGATGCAGTTCTCCGTTGACTCAGCGTGGGGTAGTTCATCCACAAGTTTATTTTTGATGGTATAACTGTCATTCCACGGCTAAATGATGATGATTGTACTTCTCAAACTCATAGCACTCCCGGCACCGTCCACCATATGTCAAGTTCTCTCTTGATGTGACTTCAGCACGATTTCTCACAGTGCATTTCAATGGAAAAGTCAAACTTTGATCAGTCTTTGAAGTACAAATGAATTACGACTGCGAAAACATGAGACACTAACATTAATTCCTGTGACATGTGGGCTTAATGTCCCGGCTGGTGCAACGATCCACCTCTTGTAGCAATTTTTAAGCAACACTTGTCATCTTTACGACACTCCCGCCGGAGATTGATGCCCGGCGCGTGTTCACGACCAACAACACTCCCGCCAAATCTTTCCAGTGCCGCCTTTTGAACAGTCCTTTGTGGATATTTTTTTATGGACTGTATCATGATGGCGGCTCTAGTCGGTTGCCAGGCAGCGGGTAGCTTCGGTCCGCTCTACAGTCATTATTCCGGACTCGAATGATTCTGACAACCACTTTGGTGTTAATGAGCCTTGCTGATGATAGCTGCTGATAGCCGTAAAACAAGCCCTGACTTGAGGAGATTAACAAGTCACCGCCGAGGCTCCGTGGGAGCAGTTAGCGCTGAGATTTACTGCCCGTCCGGTCAAATATTTCAAACTTTTTTATTCGTGAAGAACTGTAAATTTCTCGTTTACATTTTTGAACAACTCTCGGTGCTGAGTTAGGATCGGCAATTCGCTGAAATCAAATTATTTGTTATGCTCACGATTCGGTTAAACTAACGAATCGGTTAAACTAATAAACTAACGATTCGGTTAAACTAACGATTCGGTTAAACTAACTATTCGGTTAAGCTAACCACTCGGTTAAACCAACGATTTGGTTAAACCAACGATTCGGACTGGTCTGTTTTCCTTGTTAAAGTAGGAACTTGATTTAATGTGATAATGTCGTCATGGTTACTACCACTTTAGATTTGGTCTATGATATCGGCCTAACGTCAAAGCAAATATCACCAAGTTAATTATTTCTGATATTTTCTTTAACGAGAATTCGCTCAAGGGTATATCTTTAGGCAGAACGGTTTATTAGTTCGTATGCCTAGTAAAATTATGCCACATATCGCTATTACCTTTAATGCTTATAAAAAAACTGCTGCGATGATACACAAAATCAAAAGATCTGTCAAAACAAATCAATGATAAATGTCTTCTTTCGCTAACCGTGTCGCATGCATGCCCGATGCTGTGAGCAATGATTAACACACAATTCAGAGTGTACAAGGCAGCAAAACATAACTATAAAGGGTGTTAACGATTTACCCGCCACCCCACCCCCCTTATCAAACCCTATGCCCCTCCCCCAAGCGGATGCATCACTTTCTTGATGGCATTCTCGTAGTGTTCCACATCAATAACTGTGTCACACTCAGTTTGATTAGTGTGTTCGCCAACATCCTTGCGTCATTAAAATAACATGAAGTTGCTAGGATATATCAGATCGTGACGTCACGGTCTCACGGATCAGTTCTGATTTACGGTGCCCCATTAAAAGCTTGCAGGCTTGATCATCGCCATAGTAACCGAAATTGAGGTATCAGGCGCGGGCACGAGCTCATTCATCTTTCCTTTTAAGTAACATTATTCCAGAAGGTCCGAGTAAGTGCTGGTCTTTAAGTCATAGTCGTTTATCTGATTTACAATCACGAGTCTTGGAAGGATGCAGTGAAACAGGTTGTTTTTTAGGGCACATACCCTCCTACTGTTTGAACAGTCACAGACAGTCAAACATTCCATCCACTTCCCCTGCCATGCCTTTAACACAGGCTAGTCATCAACAGTCAGATCATAATATTTTAAGCAAACACCGTGACTAGTCGATTTAAGTCAACAGACAAAAGCAGGCAAGTGAGGGGCCCAGCTGGCTTATCAATCACCCACAGTCAAAGCATAGCTGTATCAAGTTACATAAACAGTCACAGCCAGTCAATCCTGCTATATGTAACGGTAGGCTGGGAGCTCTTAACTGTTACAAACAGTCACTTGATTGATTTTGACTGAAAGGACAACCTGACCTAGAATGTACTTGTGCATACGAGGGTAGCACACCCTGGAACAGACCAAGGAAAGATAAGTTTGTCTCCTAAATTGTTTTGTCTAGCGTGAACAGACCTAAAAAGTTGTCTATATCATGTCAATCACGGTGCATGTATTTTTGCTTCATCGTTTGATTTGCAACTCGATATTCAAGACCCAGTTCTGGTTAATAATAGAGTGAATGTATTTATGCGTCTATTTAGTTCATCAATTTATTCATTGGCCATGGCACGAAGGGGTTAGGTTGATCAGGGTGGGTGATGTGGGGTGGGGAAGGGCAGGTTGTTTGAGTTTCCATCGAGCCTAAATTTTGAATAACTGAATTAAGGTCAACCTATTGAAATTCGAAACTAATGGAATTGCATGCAATCCTCTAAAGCCACGTAATTGGATGTGTTAAATCGTGGCCGTTGCCATGGCCCCACCCAAATCCTTCATTATTACACAAAAAAAACAGCATCATCCACCATCAGTTGACAGGTTGTAAACCCTTCCAGACAATAATGTCAATAAACAAAACTAGCCAACAAATTACGCACACAAACCAAACGAACTTTTTGCCAATAATGTTCTTTATTTCAATAATGCGGATATAAAACGTGCAACTAACATGACTGTGTACGTGCTGTTGATAAATACACCAAATACATGTGAACAAGGTCCTAAACTAGGTTGCGTTAACCTAAAACCTCCCGGAGCTGCCCAAAATCCAACAAGTGATTTTGATTGATTTTGATGGGTTAAGGATGGAGAGCCATGGCGCTTTTTCTCTCCATGGGGTTTGAAGTCATGAAATTTGATTCAAGTTCAAAGAATGTTCCCCACCGTTAATGCCCGGTGTTGCATTTTAGCTGAATTGTTAAGATCCAACGCCAGATTTTGATTGATTTTGGTGGATTTTTGGGGAGTTACATAAGATTTCATGTTCCAGTTTTGTTCATGTTCAAAGAAAGTGCCATACTGGTAATGCCGGATGTTGGATGTTAGCCGACATTTTTTTTGCAAAAATGCCTCTAGAGGGAGTTCAGGTTAATGTACAGACTCCTTGCACAGTTCGCCCTCAGGGAGGGCAGGTTTTGTCATTTAAATGGGTGACAATGAAGTACAAATGCGTCCACTCATGCGTATCACAGAGGAACAAAGACCTACCCTCCGATGCAAAAAGTCAATCTATAATTCACTACATTATTCAGATGTAATCGTTACAATTCAAAAGATTAACCATTCCATCAATAAAAACAAGTAAATCAATTAGTTAACCCATGAAAAATTAAAAATAAAATTTGTCACCAAAACATTTATTTCTTTAAAAGAAAGTAGAACAATAAAAAATAAACACCTTTTATATAAGACCTTTAAACCGCTGAAGATTAAGTTTGAACTAATCTAATACCATTTCTATGTACTCTCTTAATTTGAAGAAAATTGTAGTATTGTGGTGAGAGTATAATCAACAATGCAATTTAATCAAACACTCACAAATATGACGGAATTTTAATTCCTCTTTCACATTATTCGCTTGCGAGTTAACGAGTGCCAAAAAATTATCAAAATTACCAAAAAATAACAATTGTATCAAAAGTCTGTCTAGTTCTCATGCTATTCTATTTTCCACCGACAGGCTTGTAGAGTGTGTGCCAAGGGAACTAATTACTAAAAGTTGTAGTGCGATGATAATTTACAAATTGAGAACCCAAATAAGCAAATTTGTGCATTAGGCATCGAAGTGGAATGTGTTTTAC